TCCCGACTTCACAATCATATCATCCATGTATACCTCCAACATTCTACCCATCTGTGCCTTGAACACTTTGTTCCTCATCCTCATGTACGTTGCCCCTGCGTTTTTGAACCCAAATGGCATGACATTATAGCAATTCATTGCATTCTCAGTTATGAACGCTGTTTTTTTCCTAATCTTCCTTCCATAATGGTATCTGATTATACCCAGAATATGCATCCATAAATGACAACACTTTATACCCTGACGCGCTATCAACTAAATGATCAATACTTGGTAATGGAAATGGGTCCTTACGATAAACTTTATTCAAGTCAGTATAATCTGTATACATTCTCCATTTCCCATCCGGTTTTCTTATCAACACTGGGTTGGCTAACCATGTAGCATATTCTATTTCTCTGATAAACCCTGCTTCTAGAAGCTCTTGTGTTTTTTCTTCAATGGTCTTCCTCCTTTCTAAACAAAATCTCCTCTTTTTCTGGGTTACCGGCTTTACACCCGGGATCATTGCCAAGCGATGACAAGACAATGCAGGATCCATGTCGGGCATATCGGAGGGTTTCCATGCAAATAAATCAGCATTCTTTTTCAACAACCCCTTCAAACTTTCTGCCACCTCGGGTTCCAACTCGGAACCCATCTTCGTACACTACTATGAAGATATCCCCAATTAAACTTCCTCCATTGCTCCAGCGGGTTCCGACCTCTCCTTTTTATCTTCCCCTCGAGGATCCATCCCTACTACCATTACATGTTCTTCTTTCTTTTCTTCTTTTTCTCCTTGTATATTTCCTTCTTTGGCTTTTCGTGCTGACTCCATAATATTTCCTTCTTTACTTGCTTGCGGAACTCGTAGACTCATATTATAACAACTCCAAGCAACCACTTGGTCCGCCTTTATTGTAGCTATTGATCCATCTTTGGCCTCAAATTTCATAGCCAACTGGTCAATTGACAAAAAGATCTTAAACTTCTTCATGAATGGCCGCCCCAAAATAATATTATACGCCGAGCTCAAATCTACTACTGCGAATGTCAATGTGATCGTTTTATGCGTGGGTGCCTTGCCTAAAGTCATCCGCAATGGGATATACCCCAATGGCTTAATTTTATCCCCTGTGAAAGCTAACAACTCAGCTCTACATGGTTCCAACTGGTCATAATCCAAATCCATTCTTCTAAACGCGTTCCAAAATATAATGTCCACCGAGCTCCCAGGATCTACCAACATTCTATCAACACGATAATTTGCTAGCAGTCCTGAAATGACTAGAGGATCATCATGCTCCGGGTCTATGATATCATCATTCAAGTCTTCAAAAACTACTTGTTTGCCCGTCTTTCTTCTTTCTTCTTTGAAACGCGGCTTATCTGAAATAGCCATGCACATTTTCAAATGTTTTTTGCGGGCGTTACTCGACTCTCCTCCCCCTGCTCGCCCCCCGGCTATAGTACATACATGACCCATCTGGACTAGATTGGGGGATGTTTGTTTTTCTTGTTGAATCTTGCCTGCCTCCCGGCTTCTTCCTCCTGGCGGGCTCCGACTACGGTAGGATCTTCGGTCTTTGTCCTCGTTACTGCCATCTCCATCTCTTCTCACATACTTCTGTAACTTCCCTTCTTTGATCAATCGTTCAATAACGTTCTGCAAGTTATAACAATCATTTGTATGGTGCACGTACCCACGATGAAATTCACACCATTTTTTGCGCAAACTTTGACTGAATGGGTAACGGCCTTGGGACATTTCTTATCTCTGTAGACATTACTTCTTTCAGAATCTGAGCTCTAGACGTATTCAATGGTGTGAACTCCCTCCTATAGGCTTCTCTAAATCTTTCTCCGACTACCCGAGGTCGTCGTTCTTCGAACTGCCCTCTCCCAGCTGGCCTCTCCGGCCTCCGACCTTGATTTGCTTCTCGAAAACCTTGCTCAATTTGCTTTTGAGAAGATTTAAACTCCTCCAAATCAATGTATTTTCGGATTCTTTCCAACAAATCTTCTTTTGTAACCGGACACTTTTTGGCTAATGAGTTCGCGGTCCCTCCGGGTTGTAATCCAGTAGTGAATAACAACAAATACGTCTGATTTTCTAACCCCTTAACCTGTCTTGCTTCAGCTTGAAAACGTTCATAATAATCTCGCAACTTTTCCCCGGGCCTTTGTCTTACTCCGCACAAATTATGCGTTGTTTTGGGCTGGGGTCCACAATGAGCAAACTGCTGTACGAACCGCTGTGATAAGTCCGCCCAACTTTCGATGGAGTTGTCTGGCAAAGCCGTGAACCACTCCAATGCCTGTTTTCTTAAAAACACAGGACATGCTCTGCATAACAGAGAATATGATTCTCCACATAAGGACATTGCTTCTCGGAAAACTATCACAAACTCCTTTGGACCTAAGCTTCCATCATACGCCTTCATGTCATTCGGTTTCTTAAACCAAGCTGGGATGGGTTCTGCCCTAAGCCTCCAAGATAACGGAGTTCCTGATGGCCCTTGATTTATCGGGGGTACAGGAATTCCCCGTTGATTTCCTCCGAGCTGTCCATTCCATCCGGGTATAGCTTGCTCCTTGTTGGTCATTCGTCCATTACCGTACTGGGGACTAAAGCCTTCCCCATGTCCTGGTCTGTAATGTTGATGACCCCAATTCATGGGATTGTTGCCCGCTTGTCGCCTACCTTCTTCCTGACCTTGATCTCTGCCCAAGTAATAATACTCAGTATCGTCTCGTGGAAACTCGTCCCTTTGACTAACATACCTTCTTCCGCCTTCCGGCCTCCACCTTTGATAAGTCTCTTCGTGTCGGCCTCGGTTTGTCTCTCGTTCGTCATCATGAGTATAATCATGATGAGCTCCCAGATATTGTTCTTCCTCCCATATCTCCTCTTCTACTTGTTCGCCTTCCCTATTCTGATATTGTCTAGTTCTCCCCGTTCTCCGGGCGTAATCATCATGTATCCGATCTTCCCTCCTCGGATTGGTTCCTCGTCCTCTGCCTTGATAACCCCTCCTTTATGGAAGACTCCTTGACTCTTGACAAGGTTGTCCTCTCCTTACTTCATTTCCTCTATTTCCCCCACAGTTGGGGGCGATAAAGGAATATAACTAGGAAGAGGAGAAAAGGAATCTTCTCCCCTGTTGGGGGAATGTTGCCCATTTCCTACAGGATGCCTTTCTTCCAGACCACGCCTCCTTTGCTCTCCTTCTCGATACTGTGTATTCCTGATATCCTCTACCAACTGAATCAAAGCCTCTCTAATGGTGTTGAGAGACCGACTCCTTCCACTGGATCGAAAAGAATCTTCTTCTCCTTGGAATCCTCTGTCGTCCTCCGTTCGCTCATCATGGTAAGGGCTTGCCATGACTCAAGAAAATGCGTAGGAATCTTTTTACCTATTCCCACAGACGGTGCCAAATGTTCTGGACGAACATTAGTATGGTTATGGTTTTATCTGCCCTTTCCTTACTTATTATCTTCGATATATATAGCCCTTCCATAGGTAGTTATTCTGGACGTGGGTAGTTATGGATACTATCATGTAATCGTGGTGGGATCCACTTTGGGATATAGTATTTTGGATGGCTGGCTTCCTTTGCGGGTAAAACCCCCTCCGAGTTCTACCAGCTCTTTTCCTTGACTATTGATATCCGGATGTATAAACCCGGAACAGGGTCCATCCAGGAAGAGGCGGTAAACACACCTCAAGATTTTATATCTGTGCTGATTAAGAAGAATTATGACAAATATAAATTTATCTATAAGTTCTACTTTTGATAAATTTGTTGATGTAGTATAAAAAAAAGTGACCTCCTCAAGAGATTTGTATAAGTAAAGACGAAACAAATTTGAGGGTGTATCTTTTATTAACAAGGGAGGATGATGTTTCTATAATTGGCCATGAACCGTAAATTGTGCGATTATGAGGGGTTTTAGGCTTATTTTTATTTTGAGTGGTAATATCATAATTTTACATTTAATTTCATTTTAGGGTTATTTGATACTGTACAAAAAAAAAATTAAGACTCGTTGAATTTCTAAACATGATTTATGTTTTTTAAGAACTAGGCTTTTCGTATAAATCCCAATTCGTCTTCTTAGCTTATTTTTCGTGTTTTATCTATTTTAAAAAAGACTAGATAATGGTATAAAATAAGGGTTTCATTTTTCTCCTCCAAACAAGAGATAAATAACTTTATCATTTGTACAGACATGGAAGTGTGTAAATTTGTGTATGTAAGAGAAATATTAATCCTATAAAATAAATATACACCAATGATAAATAAAAATTAACACGGATAACATTCATATTCATGTACAAAAATCTATAAATCTTTAATATCGCCATCAATTGGACAAAGGTACCATATAAGTATTATAGAATACTCTATTTGTTTTTATGTATAGACAGAGAATTTTAACAAGTTATACATGTTTTGTAACAAATTACATTATTCATAGATACGTACGTGACAAGTTTCAGTGTAAATTTTAACAATAGAAAAGTAAGTTCACTAAACAGAATTTTGAAAAAATAAAACTAACTATTTGATGAACAAAAATAGTAGGTTTTTGAAGAATTTTATCGGTAATAAATTTGCAGGTTCATTGTTAAAATTTGTACAAAAAATTATCATTTAAACTAAGCAATTCTTTTTAAAACTCAAGTCCTCCCTTGTTCTTAAGCCTGCCCACTAATTATTTTAATGGCACAATGTTCTATAAAAATGAAAGCTTTACAATGGCTTAGGTAAAATAAATTGAACATTTCTATTTTTCAACTTTTTGTCTACATTTTTTGAGACTTTTAGATTCATTACTTCCTTACCGACTATCATTGTAGGGAAGAAAAAAAGGCTTAGTTGGCAAAGGATTCAACCTTGCAATCATATTACATTTATAATCTGATGTGTATTTGAACTTCTGACCTGAACTAAAACTGATATTTTGAGATTATGAAAAAAAAACAAAAAAATGAATAAAATATAATACCATAATGTATTTAGTACATTACTTATGTCTCTCTTTTCTTGATAATTTTTCTCATTTTACAATTTTCTCAAAGAAAAAGGTAAAAATAGAAAAATGTGTTAGCAGGAATCTTGCTCTAGCTTTTGGACTTGAACAAGCCGAGACCCAAAACTCTCTTCATCTTCCTGAAGATACCAGAGTTCTTCGTTGATGATCCTTTGGTGGGCAATGCCGAAGCTAGGTCTCCTGCAAACAATTTCTCAGACTATAGCATACCAATAATAATGTGCATTGAATTAATATGACACCTTGGTTCAAAAGATATATAAAGACATTTTCAGGTGCCCTATTGCTGTGTTTTATTTAGTGGATTACAGAAAAGGATGATAATAGAAAATATGAAGAATTACTGACAATGATGAACTGCGAATTTCTTAAAAGGCACAATCAAGACACAGAAAGATTCTGTTATAAATTTTATTTAACGCTCTTGAATAAGAAAAACCTACTACTATGATAGTAGTTCTTATAATATCTTATAATCAAAATCCCTCCTAGTTAATTAAAGGTAATAGAAGTAAAGAAACATATAAATATAATAAACAACATTCATTCATTTTTAACAAGTATTATGCTCGATTAAGAGAAGAAAAGACTAATAAATAAAATTAACTAAATTATTATCTTCTTAATTACTGGGAGTGCAGAGGGGAAAAAAAGTAGTAAAAATAACTCAACTTCCACATTAATCTTACTACGAAATATTTATTATTCTATACAGAAAATGAATTCTACAATAGAACGTGATAAAGTTGACCCTATCAATGTACTTAAAAAAAAGTTGACCCCTATCACTATTGTTATTTATCCTTTTTTAAAATTTGACCTAGAACTATAAAAGGATAGGATATTATGCCAAATTTTTCCATGTCTATTCTATCTACCCCTCTTCAACACCGTTAGATCATAATCTGAAGAGGAAAGAGAAAAAATGAAGGTTAGTTAAGACTGTGATCTAATGGTATTGGAGAGGAGTAGGTAGAGTAACGATGAAAAAAGATATGCATAATATCCTATCCCAACTATCAATACAAGTTTAGTTAATTTTAGCATGTGAGAAAGACATTCATTGGTATTTTATTAGATGCGAACACTTAGGGTAAACAAAAAAGAGTTTTTATGAATATTGATAATTAATAAATGGACAGTAATAAATAATGTTTAAGAGAATACTAGCCTAATTATAGCATAAATCTTCCTTAAAACGATTATAGCATTAATTTAGCTCTAGAAGCACATGGTTTTGTTATTTGTAATTGTAATGACTAGTAATGCCAAAACAGAATCAGGCTCAAGACTCTCCTGCTCATCATTAATGAACAGTTTCTAAGTCAAAACCTCGATCCTCATCATATATTTAAGAATCATACAACAAAATTGACGAACATGATGGAATCTTATCCGTTTCTGTAAGTAACAATCTATCGATTCAATTCACAAACCAGTAATACAAAACAACTTAAATTAAATACCTGTACCCTCAGGCACATTATAAGGAGAAGGTGCCTCGGAGCTTATTAAGAGATAAGGTTTCCTTGCCCAGTACTCTTGGAACCTCTGTTTCGCATACTCCTTGTAGTCAAAGTCGATTTTGTTTACTTGTGCCTGAACAAGGTAATCAAAAGATAAGGCAATAAAGAATAAAATTCCTACACCTATTACTACTGTGTATATGGTATACGTTGGACTCCTTATTCACATATACATTGGACTTCTAATAGTGAATAAGGAGAAGTTTTCATATATGCTCATGGAGTACGAAATCTGTGCAGCTCAGATAGGAGAAGCACTTAAAAACTCAAATGCAGTACATGTACGGCCCACGTCTGATCTGCACAAAGTGCAAGTATTTCTTGTCACGATGCCCATTTGGATAGGACTTTCAACACCCAAAAGTGCTTGTCTCATGAAAAACACTTTTTAGAGAAGCTAAGAAGTATAAGCTGCTTTGAACTTTAATTCTAAAAAGGCTCAAATTTTAAATTTTTCAAAAAATAAAATATAAGCTTTCTTTAAACCGAAAGCACTTTGTATAGGAGACGCCTAACATTAAAAATTTAGAAAGAAAATATGCTCTATGAACCAGAAAAATACATATTATTTAGAAGGACCCTTATGGCTAATTTGCTATTTAGTTCAAAAGTTTAGTCATTACAAAAATATTTATTCGGAAAGGTCATAGCATTATGGTCAACCTATTTGTGTCAATAATGAAACTCCAGTTTGGTCATCGATCCATAAATATAACAACTTTTATTCCCCAATCCACAAAAACTTATGGGTAAAAGGAATAATATGTTTCCATAATGACACTACTGAAACATATGTTACAGGCATACAAGGAAGTCCGCAACCAGAAGACAAAGGAAAGCATAATGATTCCAATGTCCCAAAATAAGGGCAGAAGTTGAAGATTTGATGGGTTCATTGAGACCGAGAAAAGTTACATAAATACTTTTAGATTAAAACAAAGAAAAACATGGGTGAAAACAACCCTCTTGGCTTCCAGAGGGATGCCCCTTCCATAAAATGAAACACTGGATTTCTAGAACTCAGCACTACTGTTTTCTTAGTAGCCCAATGTTTCTGTTTATGGAAATGGTGCACAAAATCAGGTATATTGAATAGCTTCTCCCTCTCCAATAGGACTCAGTGACACCCATCCTAGAGTGACTAGGAGCTTTGATATAAAATAACTAAATCTAAAGTGAGAAAGTTAAGATACCGAAATTATTCCCCAAACGCCCCAGAATAGGTGATTTGCAAGTGTATACTTCTCAACTTCTTGAAGTAGCTGCTCCACTTCACTTTCACTAGGTTGCTCACCTGTGCTCAAGTCCCATAATTTCAGGAACACATTATGATAATTCCAATTCTTAAGATGATGCATGCTCACATAGGTGATGAAAACAAGGGTATATTGATGATTGATCTGCACTATTTGTTTAATTTAGACCATACAACTTGGTTGTTCCAAGCAGATCATCAATGTCAGTAAATTGTAAGCAAACACCAATTCCTCTTTTACACTAGAAGATGAATCTATGTTAAATAAAAAATAAGACAACCATGCAATAAAATCTTCTAACAATATAGAGATTTTTAAAGAAATCCATTACCGGAGGAACTCAAATATGCCTTCACAAATCTTTGACGCTCCTCAAAATCTGTCAAGACAACCCAGCCAAACCAAAGTCTCTTTTATGGACATAATAAAATGAATGACTGAGAATAAACTCAAAAAGCCACATAATCTCTTACCAGGATATTTATTGTAGTCCAGAATATGAGGCTCATCTGTATGATAGTTAGCAGCCATCTCACAGAAGTGGTTTGCTATATCATATGCTACAGGGTTATAACTGGCATATTCATAGTCCTGTTACAAAAGGTGGCATTAAATAATACTTGCTGGCTATGATCCATTGATCTCTTGAGACATGTAATTTTGGCAAAATATAACTAACTAAAGATCAACTAGATGATTATGAGTACTTCAGTTTCTCATCCTTTTAGCCATGTTCAAAATAAATAAAACAAACAAAGAAGAAGAAAGGTGATCGCATCCAAGACCTCATCATTCACAATCTTTTCTTCTTATCACATCTGTCATCAATCAAATAGATTCCCTTATCTCTCAAGATTTCCTTGCTTTTAAAATTTTAATTTAACCTTAAAATGTAGAATACAGTTTTAGCAAGAAACCAACAACGTTCATCAAGCTATAATTAAGACAACTCAAAAGTCTCATACCCACATTCCTGCCAGAAATATAAAAAGGTTTATTCTTTTATAATGATTTTATTTTGGTTTTTTGGGTCAGGGCTGTGTAAGCCAAAATGGGGTGGGGAGCGGAGTGCAGGTTTGATGGTCTTAAAATATAATCAATCACTTTTAAGACATACATCAGAGCCTTCTGTAGCTGGTCTTTTTACAAATATAATTTTTCTCTAAATTTTGGTACAATTAAATTCAAGGGGGAAATAGGGTCGCGACTTTTAATAGTAAATTTAAGTTGCAACTACTAAGGGAAAAATCTATTTATCAATATATAAGAAAAAATTGATATCACCGGCAACTCTGTTATGATAGAAATAGAACTAAAGCAGATCCTATGGAAAATTAAATATTATAATGGTTCCCCACAAAGGTGTTAGCAACAAAATCATGATTTCACCAACTAGCACAAAGAGAAACTCACTATTATGGTCACAGAATTGGCCTCTTCATCAAGCATTATGTTACCATATTGTAAATCATTGTGGCAAAATCCTATCTGTTGGTGTGCGCCTGATAGTTCCTTTTCCAAAATAGAGATTTCCTTGTCAATTGTGTCCAAATAAAAGGCTTCAACTTCTTTAGGGGAAGACATACGTTTGGCCTCACTAAGCCAATTTCTGAAGCATTGAAATAAAAAGATTAGAGAAAAGATCAGTGTGTATTTAAAATATGGAAGTGTTGAAATAAAATTATTTGAATGAAGTTTATATAAGGAAGATATATAAATGGTCTCTTTTCACATAAATAAATTTTTCTCCAATACATTTTTAAGGGTGAAGTTCGGATGGGTGTTCAGAAAGCACATACCGCAATGTATCCCAAAGATGGACTTTCTTTTCACCAGGCATGTCTAGATCATGGAACTCCTTCAATTTGGCCGCTATAAGTACAGAAATAGACGGATCGCGTAGATCAGAAGCTGATAATGTCTGATAAATTCACAATGGAATGTATGAGCACATCAAGTTCATAAATTGTATAGAGCTTGATCAAAAAAAGCAATGCCTAAATTTTACAAATCATTTATATAGCAGGACGAATAATGAAAAATGTAGGTAGTTTGAAGTAACATTAGTTGTATAATGCATCATGTCTACAGTTTACATACATGAACCAGATAATAACAATTTGCTCAAAGGTAGTTTGAGTAGTATCAATATTAAGATGAAAAATAAAAAAGGAAAGATAAGATTACCCGTGCATGGATAAACTCTTCAACACGGCCATTTGTAAACCGTCCTAGCAGACGAGGTCCCTGCCCATTCTTTGACATGAATTCAAATGTCCGGATCTCATCACCCCTATCAAAGAAAACATCCACACCCTCACCATAGATTCTAAGTACAACTTTTCGTGAGGATTCCCCTGCTGTAGTTGGCCACTTTATCTGGAATACTTCATTCGTCATTGCCCCCTTGAGAGGGATCACCTGCAATGCATTTGCATCAAGTACATTTTCCCATTTACCTGCCAATGATTTTAGTATCTCCTTTGCTTCTTCGGGAAGGCGATCTACTTTGTTGTTTACAGGGGTTTCGACAGCATCTTCTTCATCTTCTATGAGACTTTCTTCAGCATCTTCTTCGTCATTTACAGGATCTTCTGTCGCATCTGCTTGTTTGCTTAAAGGATTTTCTACACCACCTGCTTTGTCGTTTAGAGCATTTTCTGACGTACCTGCTTTGTCATTTATAGCATTTTCTGCAGCACCTGATTTGTCGTTTACAGGATTCTCTGCAGCTCCTGCAGCATGGTAAATTTCAGGATTTTCTGCACAACCTGCTTGGTCGTTTGCAGAATTTTCTGTACTGCTTGCTTGGTGGTTTGCTGCACTACGTGCTTGGTCATTTACAGGATTTTCTGCAACATATACTTGGTCATTCACAGGATTTTCTGCACCACCTGCTTGGTCATTTACAGGATTTTCTGCACCACCTGCTTGGTCATTTACAGGATTTTCTGCAACATCTGCTTGGTCATTCACAGGAATTTCAGCACTACCAGAATGTTCATGTACAGGATTTTTTGCAACATCTACTAGGTCATTCACTACATTTTCTGCACCACTGGCTTGGTTGTTTACAGGATTTACTGCACCATCTAATTGGTAATTTGCAGTATCATCTGCACCACCTGCTTGGTCGTTTACAGGATTCACAGCACCATCTGATTGGTCATTTGCAGGATCTTCTGCACCACCTGCTTGGTCATTTACCGGATTTACTGCACCATCTGATTGGCCATTTGCAGGATCTTCTACACCACCTGCTTGGTCGTTTACAGGATTTACAGCACTATCTGATTGGTCATGTGCAGGATTTTCTGCACCACCTGCTTCATCGCTTACAGGATTTTCTGCACCACCTGCTTTGTTGATTACAGGATTATCTGCAGAATCCGCTTTGACATTTATAGGATTTTCTATAGCACCTTTGTCTTTTATAGGATTTTCTGTAGCACCTTCTTTGTCATTTATAAGATTTCCTGTAGCACCTGTGCTGTGGTTTACAGGATTTTCAGCAACACCTGGTGTGTTGTTTACTAGATCTTCAGCTGCACTCATTGCCAAAGACTCCAAACCTCCAAGTAGAGAAAGGATTTACTGAAAAAATAAGGCCTCCTTTATTTATATCATCAAGACATGGATAAGCAAGGATAATACCAAGAAAAGAAGACGACAAAACCATTCAACTCATCAAAATGATATCCAAGATGTTATTGGTCACAACTACAATTTAACATGGTGCAGTGGTGTCCCTCTCCCTCCTTCCAAGAGTAAATAGACACAGTTGAGAGAGAAATCATATATTGTCAGATAAGTATTTCATTCAAGAGCATCATCAAGGAACAATTGTGATGCACTTACAGTTGGCCCATTGCACATGGCCCAACCATTGATTCAGGAAGCCCAGAGTCAACCAGAATTGTGGCCCAATAAATATGGTCCAATTGTTAAAAGAAGTAGTAATTTGAAATATAACAAATTACAATCAAATCCAAGTCCAAAAGAAACAGCAGATATGATTGCAATTTGTTTGACAAAAAAAGGGAAAGCAACACATTTGGCATGATTTAATTGTAATTATTTATTTATTTTTAGAGGTTAATTACCATTATATTTATTTTAGGAGGTTTTATTATTTTTAGGATTTTAGATTTTGATTTTTGGATCAATTTGTAATTAGTCTATAAAAGGGTGCTTAACACCCTTATTTTAGGAGATGAATTTTGTTATTTTGACAATTAAAAATTGAGAACAGGAGGGTTACTCTTTTATCGTATCCCAATTTTCTGTTCAGCCATCTTTCCTATGCGCTTTCGGCATCAAGTTGACTACTCTTTCCGAGTCATGTAAATCAGAAATTCCTAAGATTAGTCAGCAATAAAATTGGTAAACAAAAAGGCCAGTATCTTATTATTTTCCGTGTAGAAAACATGTCAAAAAGAAAGGCCTAAATTGTATAATACTCATTCCAAGGATAATAAACATAAAATAAGAGAGATAAGGATTGGGGGAAGAATCAAGAGAAACTTCGAACTCTATTCATGAAAAGAGAAATTAGAACTTTGAACCCGATACCGGAATAGATAAGGACATGCAGTAACCAATCAAAATCGCTAGAAAACCAGACATCAAACTGGTAAACCAAGACAACATGAAATTAATCAAGTTTCGAGAAGCCCATCAAAATCATTTCTTTCCAACCTATTTCTTAGCGTTCAAACAACTCCCCTATTGAACACACCATGCAGTTTCTCTCATCATCTTTCTCATTGAAGAGGGCGTGAAGATTGCTGGAGATTAATCTGAACTAAAACCAAAATAATCTCTATTCAAACCAATTTCTCCCATCCAAACAATTCCATACCGAGCATAACGTTTCATCACTTCCTTAATTCCACAACAATCCATTCTCCTCAGGACCCAAATGATTAAAACACAATAATAAAAACAAAACACTCGAAAAATAATCATAACTGCATTCCAACTTTATGACGCATCAAAATCATTTTCTGACAACAATTCTCTTCCAAAACAAACAAAAGACAGATTCCAAACACCACAAAAACAGATAAACTCGCGACATCGCATGGAATGAACAAAAAACATAAAAAAAAAATTAAGAATTAGAAAAACACCAACCTCAACTGATAATTTTATCGCGCATCCAACACGCAAAGAATCTGGAGCAATAATGAACGGAAGACTCGGAGAAGAACCGCGAGGCGGCGGCCGGAGATATCTCCGCCGGCGAGGAATCAGCTCAGAAAGATTGCGTAGTTTAGAGAGAGAGAGAGCAGAGAGAGAATAACGGTAAAGAGATTTTGGGGAAATGGGTTTTATATATAGAAAGGGTTTTTTTTAACACAGCCATTGACAAAGGGTGAATTCCTACAACAATTTCGTTTTGGATACTCTTGAATTTTGGAAATTTGGTTATAATTAGACTGTTGCTTTCTAAAATTAAGTTTTTCTACCAAAAATAAGTAATAAATTTGTTACCAAAAAATAGATAAAAAAAATTCTAGAAATTATCCTGTAAGTTTTGAAAATAGTTATATTAATTATTGATGCCATCAGTATAAAGTATAAACTAAAAAAATAATAATAATTTAACTATCCAAATACATATTTTGAAAAAATGGGAAACTGTCATATAGGAATAAAAAGTTTTACTCCTCATTCATACAATTAATTTTCATGTCCTTCACAAATATAATTTATTAAATCATATTCATTAATTAATTTCAAATTTTTTATAAATTATAGTGATTAGATGCACACGGAAATCAATGGTAAAAATAAAGAGTGAAACATTTTATTCTTCGATTGGAATCAAATGATTACTCCCCTTTAAAAATATACATAATATTTTTTATTAGTTAAAGCAGACATAATTGATTATATATCTTTTAAAACGTAATTTAACTATCTATGTTTAATTTTAATAATGATATATTAATAGTAAAAAATAGTTTATACTTATATATAGTAATATGTCAGTAACAATATTTAATAATTTATGCATAGGGAAAAGGGTATCTAATGTTACTTTAAATAATTTTATCTAATGTTCACCGAAACGATGTCGTTTTGAGGTTGAAAAATTAAAAATTAGAATGATAAAGACTATTATAACCCTGAAATAAATTAAAACTACAAATATATCATGATTTCCGTCTTAAAACGACGTCGTTTCGACGAACATTAGATAAAGTTGTCTAAAGTAACTTTAGAAAAAATTAACCCTTTATGCATATTACAAATAATTTTCGGAGAAAAGAGTAGGAAATGCAAATATGTAGAAGGGACTTGTTTGGGTGGAATTCAATCCGCATGAAGTAATTTGTTGAATAATTTTGTGCGATTTAAATTAGGATTATTAAAAAAAAAATTGTAGTTTGATAACATTGTATTTAAGTGTGAAATAAAATAAGCACTAACAATATAAATGTCCGCTATGGACGTATATACTAATTTGTAATTTTCAGTTGTTTCTTTACTAAGTATAAATAATGAGGTTAAGGAACAATGGAACATAAAACCAAGTGTGGTATGATGTAAATTGTTTGGAAATTATTTTATTGATGTAGGGGCATTCCATAAGGGTCCAACTTGGATCTATTCTAATGTGATACTCGAATTACATGTTAATTTGGATTGTTCATAAGATATTTGGACAGGTAGAAACCCCAACCAACCATAATCGATTAAATGTCACTGATTGATACTATTCCTAAACAACTTGTCATGAAGCTTCTAAAAGATTTTTACATGGCAAACCCAATCATCGGCGCTCATGTGACATCGTTGGAATCACTTTACAAGATTTAATATATTAAGAATCTTCTGTCTATTATTCGCATTTTGCCTACATTCTAAGAGAGCATCTTCAGTAAAAGAACCCAGAGATAAATTAAGTGGGGCCTATCAATTTTAAAAAAAAAAAAAGGTGAGGCACATCTTTTTATATGAGTGTAACATGAGAGATAAACCTTATGTAACATAAGAGTATAATTTCTCATTATAATTATGTGCTATGGGAAATGCTTAATTATAATATTAAAATTTCTTTTTTTCATGTCAGTGGATAAATTTTTTAGAAGAGAAAAAAAATAACTTTAATATTATAGAACAGGTTATTCTACTTATCTCTTTCTACTTATCTTTGTCTATCACTTTCTAACATCATTAAAACAGAATTTCAATTACCTTTATCATTTCTCTCTTTTATTAAAATTCTTAAGTTGTTAAAGAGTTATAAGCAAAGTTAAATAAAAAAATAGATAAAATAACTTATCTCTAATATTATAACTATATATTATTTTCGGTATATAATTATAATATGACCGTCAGTACAACGGTTGCATATTAAATTTTTTCCCATTATAAATATGCAAGTTAATATTCATACTTTTGCACCTTTGTCCGGATGAAACAAAAAAAAAAAAAAATAAGAGAGAGGAATTAAAATTGGGAAAGAAAAAAAAAAGTTTTAGAGCTTTATTTATTTATTTTTTTTATTTCATTTCTTTTTCAGCCGAACAAGGATAGCAAATTATTATTATTTTATTTAATAACCTAATTAAGTAATTATTCCTTTGGGACGAATAAGATCCCTTAGGTATTCCCATGACCCGATTAGGAAAGAAGCTCGCTCAAATATAATATTAATTGTGATGGTAATTCGTTTGATAGAAAATAAAATAAAAATTACCTGAAAATTACCATTACTAGGAAGATTATGAGAAAGTGAGTTTACCGGGAATATTGCTAAAAAAGTTATTTGGTAGGCTAAAATATTAACCGAAATATTAGCTTAAATTTGCTAAGTCTATATTTAATTGATAGTAAAATATTGATGGGATTAAGTGATGAATTTACGAAACTAACCCTGTTAACGTTTTTATTTTTTGATTTGAATACTAAAGGTATTTGGCGCAGGATCTCAAGCACAGGGAAGATTCAAGAGAGAGAGAAAATATCTGTGAGATCTCTCAATGTGAGAGAAATTGATGGAATTAATATTAAACTATAAAGACTCTACAGAAGTGTATTTATAGCATATCAGAAAGGAAACTAAACTAGGCTAACTAATTCAGTTACAGACTCAAAACAAACTGAACAGAATTGAAAACTAACTTAACAATTACTATATGTTATCATCCCCCCGCAAGCTCAAGGCTGGAAGAGGTGGAAAGCTTGAGCTTGGAACAAAAGTTGAGAAAATTAGGCCTGGAGACAGCCTTGGTGAAGCCATCTGCTATCTGATCCACTGAAGGTATATGATGAACAGTGAGGTGTTTTGCCATAACCTTTTCGCGAACAAAATAGAGATCCAGTTCAAAATGCTTTGTTCTGGAATGAAAAAGGGGATTTGCTGCCAGTTGTACTGCACTAAGGTTATCACAATAAACTGTAGGTGTGCCTGGAGTGGAGATAAGCAACTCAGACAATAAAGATTTGAGCCAAGCAAGTTCAGCAATGGTGGCTGCAAGACATCTATACTCAGCCTCAGTGCTTGAGCGACTTACCACAGCTTGCTTTTTGCAGGACCAATTAATTAAATTGTTACCAAGAAAGATACAGTAACCAGATGTGGACCTACGGTCATCAATATCAGATCCCCAGTCACTGTCACAATAGGCTGAGATGTGAAAGTGAGGAGAAGGAGAAATGGTAAGTCCTAGAGAACTTGTGCCATGTAGATACCGTAAAATTCGTTTAACTGCCTTCCAATGAGTGTCAAGAGGAGCATGCATGAACTGACATACCTTGTTGACAGAGAAGGATATGTCAGGTCTAGTTACTGTAGCATATTGTAAGGCTCCAACTATGGACCGATAGAGAGAGGGATCATGAAAGGCAGTGCCATCTTTAGAAGATAGTTTTATACTTGAAGACATAGGAGTTGGCATTGGTTTGCAGTCACTCATGTTTGCCTTTTTGAGTAAGTCAGCAATATACTTTGCTTGACTGAGATGCAGTGTACCTGAGGAGTCTTTTTGTGCTTCAATACCAAGAAAATAGTGAAGCTGACCTAAATCCTTGAGAGCAAAGGCTGAGTTGAGATTAGTAATGAGTGATGTAATGGCAGTAGGTGAGGAGCCAGTGATGAGGATGTCATCTACATAGACCAAAACATAGATGGTTGCTGTGGATGTGATTTTGATGAAGAGTGATGAGTCACACTTTGTAGAGGCAAATCCTAGGTGACCCAAAGTGAAACTGAGTTTCTCAAACCAAGCACGAGGGGCTTGTTTGAGACCATAAAGTGCCTTGGTGAGGCGGCAAACAGTTGTTTTATCACCTGTAGTAAAGCCTGGAGGCTGCTGCATATAAACAGTCTCATGAAGATCTCCATTTAAGAAAGCATTATTCACATCCAATTGGTGAATTGGCCACTGCCGAGAGAGAGCTATTGTGAGGATAATTCTGACAGTAGCAGGTTTAACCACAGGGCTGAAGGTTTCTGCATAGTCTAGACCTTCTCTTTGATGAAAACCTTTAGCTACTAGGCGAGCTTTATGTTTGGAGATAGATCCATCTGGATTGTATTTGGTCCTGAACACCCATTTACATCCAATGGGGGTGCAGTCTGATGGCAGAGGTACAAGCTGCCAGGTATTATTTCTTTGAAGTGCTTCATATTCATCTTTCATGGCTTGCAGCCATTGAGGTTGAGTCATAGCCTTTGCAACTGAGGTAGGTTCAACAGAAGCAGTAAAGGCCTTGGGTTTAAAGACACCAGTCTTGGCTCTAGTGAGCATATGGTGATTATTGTTGGGTTGAGAGGTAGGTGCTGTAGCAGGTAAAAGAGACTCTGATGTCTCACCAGTAGATAACCTGCAAGAACTGTTAGAAATAGGCAAAACAGAATCTGTAGTGACCTCAGCACATGTAGTGGGTATGGATGTGAGTTGAGAGGAAGGTGAGATAGTTACTTTAGGGATTATAGGTACATGTGATGGTTCAGAAGAAGAAGACACAGTATTTTTGGTGACTGTTTGGGTAAAGGGAAACAGAAATTCATCAAAAACAACATTTCTTGCAACAAATATTTTACCTTCAGGTGAGAGGCATTTGTAACCCTTGTGGTTGGGACTGTAGCCAAGGAATGTGCATTGGATTGAGCGAAAATCAAGTTTGTGTTTATTGTAGGGCCTTAGGTGAGGGTAACAAGCACAACCAAAGGTTCTCAGAAGTGTGTAATCAGGTTCCTTTTGAAGCAGTATGGCATAAGGAGAGGTATTGTGCAATGTAGGTGTAGGAAGCCTATTG